TTTAAATCCAATGTTCGATTCTACTTACCGTACCCTCATCCCCCCTTCTCCAGGTTTCAACGTTTTAAACGCGCTTGAAATCTGTCTTATTGAAAAATAGCAGCTGTATTGCACAGGCGGCGCACTGCACAATGCTCAAATGTTTCGAACTTGAGGTCAATCCTTTAGAAATGCATGATTTATAAATATCTACCTAATATATTAAAACACTGAATGGTTGCTGTAAATGCTTTTTCCCGTCCTCGGTATATTAAAACGGCAGAAGCGGTTTTTCCCCTAAGTATTATAAAAATAAAGGAAACTATTTGGGACAGAAATTGTTGTCAAACTGACACTGTAACTTTGCTTTTCTATTTGAGAGGAAAGAAATAATCTTAAAAATGGGGATATTAATTTATTATTGTTGAAAACTTGTATGTGTACAAACTTTGTGCGTTTATTTGGTATTAAATCATTTCTTAAAACTTAAGATATTTTACATATCTTTTTTAAAATTCATTTGATGAATCAAAGAATTAAATTCTGGTAATTAGGGCATTTCTCACAAGCACTTGTTTCATATAGAGCACCCCTTCCTTTCTCTTTCTACAAGGTACATGTACCTATACAGTGCAAATCAGTTTCAAGCACCCTCCGCTTTGATCTTCTTTAAATAGTTGGCATTGACAGTTTTTTTTTTCTTTTCTGATCGGGAGATGGAAGGCGGGGGGGAGGGGGGGGCTCCGAGCCCCCTAAAGATTCACGCATTGCGATGAGGCGGATCTGAGTTATATAAACGGATCGACATGTATATTATAAAGTAAATTGCAGGTATATTTTACATGCACTCCAGGCATTTGAACAAAACCAGTGTAACACAATATCTGACATAAATTAAACTAAGCTTGTGTGCAAAGTGCTCATCATCATAATTACCGCCACACTGCGAAAATTTTCAACTTTCCGCTGCATTTTTTTTTTTTCAATAAGAGAATTGCAGACTACATATAGGATGAGCCAGCAATGATTTCCAGAAATGAAATGCAGGACGCATGAAAATTGCACTGTTTTGAAACTAAAAATGTTTTATTATCTAAATAAATTTCAAATAAAAAAAAACTTTTACCTCCCCGTTATGAACAGAGGAAACAGGTTTTATGAATGTATGAGTTGTACTTTTACTCAACCTTTACATGCATAAGTCGATAGCTGGCTGATGAAAGAGTCAATGTGTCGGTTATGTATATAATACATTTACCTTCAAATGTACATGTAGCGGTAATGTCACGGTAACCTTTTTTTGTAGCAGTAATGACAACTTTGAAAAAAAAATGATACGCATCCTTAGAGGGCTATATAAATATGGCCTTAATTTTTTTTCTTTATTTTTGCAGTGTATTAAAAACAATATATAATGTTTTTTGAAGCTTATAAAATTGCCGTTCTGTAATGTAAGTATGTCCTGCTTCGTACATCGAACAAACCTTCGACATTGAAAAATGTCATATTATAAGCTTCTCAAAATGGACAATTCTTCGGTTAGCCTATAGGCTGGCAAGTTCATGGAAAATTACGTGAATTTATTGATTAAATAGAAGCATAAGATTATTTATCTTTATTTTTTGTTTGTATAAGTTGCTTATGACTGATGGATTTTCCCAAGTATGAGTTGTGCAAAGTACAGCGGTAAATAAGGTAAATTCGGAAACGCGGAATTATTCAAGACACATTATATGGTATAACTCCCCCCCCTCCCCCTCCCACCCTCAATAAAAAAAGACATCAGGACTAACAACGCATAATTTATGTAACTGATAATAGCTATATACTTTAAAAAGTCTTGCTAATTTTGAATTAAAATATATAAAATATGTATTTATTATTTATCAGGTCACCATCAAATGCACATTATTGAGGAAGGTTAACGCTCTACGTTCATTGTACCTGGCACTTGATCCCACCTCTGATGTTTCGGAGGTCCGTGATTTCTCTGCTCCGATTTTGTATTGTTTTACGGACTTTAATATTGAATACTGTTCGTTATCTCCATATCCTTCTTGTACATGTAACGCAGTCTGAACCATGCAACCAATGAAAATCCCGACACTAAAATGGTTCATTCTTAATGTTAAGGGATTTTATAAACTTGAAAAATAATTATAAAATATGATTACTTGTATCATCTCTAAATTCTTAACTTATGAACAGATGTGGATTTTATCCTGTATGAATTTCTTTGTATTCAGCAGTAAAAAGAACTGTTTATATTATTCGTTTCCTACGTAAATACTGTGTAAAATCAGCGTAAAATCTTGAACGCTAATATTGAATTTTGATTTCCGGACTTACTTTATATAAAAAAGTATACTGTTCCCACTCATTAACCGACACGAATTTAATACTGGACGGAGATTTTTAGCCAATAATTTTATACACAAAAAATAAAAGTGGTTAATGCTTGGGAACATATTCAATTTCATCAATGTTTACTGATTTTTCATGAAAAATAAACGGATTTCGCTGAGCAATTGCTGTTTGGTGTAGTACTATGACGTCACTGTAACATATTACGTCATATTTATATAAGTTGACTTTAGCTTTGATCTTATTGTAATTCGAAACATAAAAGACTTGCATAAAAAATCGAAGTTTAAAAATAGTTAAATTTCTCGGCCGCATATAGCTAATAACGTACTTTGTTCTTTACAGCTGTTATTTAGCAGTTCTCAGCTGTTCATTTCATAGCTGTTTTCAAAACTGTTTCAAAAGCAGTGTACAGTCTCTTCTGGAGCAAAAATTATGTCCAAAGTTACAAAATATTTGATAAGAAGGGTATACCTCTAGGTCAAAGTCATGAAGTCAATAATGGTGTGAAAAGATTTTTCTTAAAGTACCGGTAGTTGTCATGGGTATTGTACATGTCAAATATAAAAACCCTATCTTCTCTGATTCAATAGTTATTACCATTGCAAAGTAATTTGAAGAAGACTGAAGGTTTAAATTTATAAGTTCATGAGATCAAGAAAACAGAGTAGGCATTGGAAAGGTCTCATAACAGATAATGCTCATGTAAGCTATAAAATATAATGTCTCATTCAAAAGTTATAATGATATATTAAAAGGTCAGATTTCAAGGTCATGGGGTTAAAAGGTTTAGCACCCTTGAAAACTTGTCACACTCTGGTATTGCACAAGTCAAAAATTAATATGATCTCCTTTTTAAAACCAATCACTGATATTTAAAATTTCACGAAAATTTAGTAGGCCAAACTTCAAGGTCATAGGGTCAAAAATGGTCACTTAATTTAAATGCAAAACATGAAAAGCCTTATCTTTTCTTGTTCAAAAGTTTTGACCAAGGTTAAAAAGTTTTTGTCACAGAATGTTGCTTTCAGGAAAGTGGGAGAGAAAAAAAGTATTTGTTATATATACAGTATTTAAATATACTTTTTTAGCTCACCTGAGCCGAAGGCTCAAGATAGCTTTTCTGATCAAAATTTGTCCATTGTCTGCCGTTGTTGTCGTTGTTGTTGTCGTTAACTTTTCACATTTTCATCTTCTTCTCAGAACCACTAAACCAATTTCAACCAAACTTGCTACAAATTCAAATCATGACCCTGGGGGGTAGGGTGGGCCCACAAGGGTGATCAAAGTTCAACATAGGAATAAATAGGAAAAATCTTTAAAAAATCTTCTTCTCAAGATTCACTGGGCCATGAAAAATGAAACTCATGCAGAAGCATCATCTGAAAGGGAAGATTCAGTTTCGTTCAAATCATGACCCCTTGGGCACGGGTTTGGCCACAATGGGTTTTACATAGAAATCCATGGTAAAAATCGTTAAAATTCTTCACAAAGCCATCATGATATTAATCATCAATTTAAAAGCATAGAAAGGTAATGTAGATTTGAAATTCAGGAGAATAGAGGAGCCATAAAGAGAACAAATGAATACAAAGGCTATATCAATAAAAAATTTTCTTACAAATAACAAAACCATAATGTGTCACAAAAGTTTGTTTAAATACCCCCTCCCCTCCCAGAACCCATTTTTATAATATATTTAAACCTTTCAATACTGAACTAATTTTTGCTTTTACCTAGTCAGTTGTTTGGGTGAGTAATGTGGCCCCTGGGCCTCTTGTTTAAAAATTTAATATGTTTATTTTATTTTGTGTGATCACTTCTTGATTCACTGTATGAATTAATTACAGCAATTAGGGCATCATGTGCATATTGACAACTGTAGACATATTCAAGAAACAAATAAAAAAACCAAAAGCTTACATTTTGTCTGAACTCTGTATCTTTTAGATGAGGTGAAACTGGTGCAGGCCAAATTGATTTATTATGAAGCACATGTATAATTGTAGAAATACTGAAATTAGTCACCTTACTAGGGAAGAATCAATTCTGCCTATATATTTAATTCCCTTCTTGGTACAGAAACTTCTCGATCAATTTTGTCATGCCCCTGATTTATGTTTTACTGTTTGGCAAACAGAGGAATGAAAAAAAAAGTTCAAAAAAAATTGCACAATACTTGTCAATGTATTTTGAGATCTTTTTGAATGCATTGATATAGCTAATAGTATGTCAATTTTTTGTAAATTTAGATGTAAATAGTGTACATAAAAGTATTTGAATATTAAAGTTTTAGGAGGTAAATTATGAAGACTGTGACAATCCCTCATTAGGTGTTAATATGCAAGGACAGCTAGCTGTTAGCTTTATTTGATTCTCTGTAATATCCTTTTAATTTGTGTAGAATGTAATTAATGGTTCATTAACACATGGACTAGATTAGCTCTGTTGATGTATTTATGGAGATCTTTTGGAAACTGCCTCTGATGTAAAATTTGATTCTTTAATTGTGTTCAGGATTTTTTTCTACCACCCATACTTAGTTAGTGGTACAATGATAAATCAAGGAATAAAATTTCAGTTGACAGAGTTTTTAGTATGAAAAAAGTATGCATCTAAAAAGAAATAAATAAAAACTTATTTGTTTCTTTAATTAGGAAATTGCATCCATTTTGATTGCCTTCTCCAAACATAAAGAATGGCTAAAGATGGAGATGAAGATTCGGCCACCGAGTGGTTCCATGTTAATGTACAGCAGGAACCGCGTAAGGTACCGCAAAGACGGCTACTGCTGGAAAAAGAGAAAAGATGGCAAAAACATTCGCGAGGACCACATGAAGCTGAAAGTCCAGGGTCTCGAGGTGTGTAATAATGCTCATTACCCTTGTTCCAGTTTTACTGTTTGTTATTTTATAGATCCTCGTAAACAATAAAAGGAAAATGAGGCATTAAGCTCCATTCAGAGTTATGACTTGCGTAATTCTGATTCACTGCACATTATTGTCTTCATTGCTCAGAAATCAAGCAGTGAAAATGAATCTAAATTTGATACCACAAAGGCTTGTGATGTATGAGGTTAAAGTTATTGCAGTTGTTTTTAAGTACCAGTCCACATAAAAATCAGACAAAACTGTAAAAAAGTGATACATGAAGGTTTTCAGAATTTGATGATTTTTCACTCATAGATTCACTTTGAAGTATGAACAATGTATGTAAAAGGAAAAATGTTTTGAGTCATGGTAACCATGGAAACCCGACCAAAGAAATTTCCCTAGCAACCGGCGGATTTTTCAGTGTTGAAGGACAAAAAAATCACCTATCTTTGAGGCTTAAAATAACTCGAAAATACCATGAGAATTATTCTTACTTATGGGTGTAATAAAGATACACATTTATTGTGTTCTAATAATGTAATAAAAAATATTTAGGTCCTAAGTCAGTTCTGTGGTAGACATTGGAAGGTACACATGTTTTACAAGTTTTGCTGATTCAGCATTTTTCGTGATTTTGGCAATATTCAAGGCCAAATTTTAAAAATGGCCAGATTAATACAATTGTTGCATGTATCTCACATAAAAGCAGAGGTATTTCTCTTTCAGAATTTGAAGTCAAATCCATGGGCTCTTTTGAAAATCAAATCTGTTGCCTAGCAACAAAAATGGGCTTTTTGATGCATAAAATGATAAAAAATGTAAAAAGTTTACGGAAAAATCAAATGAACGGTTATTTATGATAAATAAGATACAAATTTTAAAATACTATACTTAAATTGGGTCTCCCTAGCACATCATTGAATATTGCATAATTCTTTATCTCCATAGCAACGGCAGGTTCTCCATAGCAACAAGGCAAAGAAAGGTAGTTTTGGCGTGTATTCGTTTAATCTTATTTAGGCTTATTCAAATTAAGTCAGAAAAATGTGATTGAGCAAAACTGACAATGAACTGTTGGTCAATCTTAATTTTTCCGTCTTTAATCAACACATGGCAACGATTCCCAGTGCATGGCAACCAATGTACCCTATGCCTCCTGTAAAGAGATTTGACTTATGGATCAGTGTTCGTCATAGAAATGAAAATTAAATTCATGTGTTGATGATTGTATTTGTGTAGAGTGCTAAAAAAATATATGAAATGTTCAATCAATTGTTACCATGGCAACAACTACATGTGAGTGAATTTAAAATGGGGCGAGTTAAAAAAACACAGTACATTTTTAAATTCTTAAACAGAACTGTGACTGGGCGAATTTAAAATGGGGCAAAATTTCCTGTATGTGTGAAACGGGCAAAAATCATATGATGCCATATTAAGGATGTTTTCCATAGATAATGTTTTTATGTAACTTGTACGATATTGTGGATTAGATTCAAGACACTCATGGTGCATGGTTTCAATGGCTGCATTTTATTTCCGGAACTGTTTTCATTTCCGATATTTTAAAGTTTTCATCTCTGACATTTTTCAAGCAGTACTTTTATCCAATGAAAGTAGCTAGGATTTAAGACTTAACTCGTGAAAAATATTACAGTATAAATCATAAATAAATTATTGAAATCCAAAATAATGAGTTTTGCAACTGACTTTGGGTTATGTATTAAACCAAAGCCCTTGACATGGAAGGGGGGGGGGGGGGGGGGGTAAGTTCGATATTTAGTACCACTCTTTTTCCAAACAGCACCACTTTGAATTCCTAATTTTAAAACTATTCAGCAATGTGTGTGGAAAGTAGGGGGCTTAAACCTACGCAGCAATGTTCAATGTCTATACTAGGAAAAGACTAAGCCCTAGCCCCTCCCCCCCCCCCCCCCCCCCCCCCCGGTTCCGACGCCTATGTAGTTTCGTAACTTTATAACCATAGACAGAGTAGGGGAATAAAAAAAAATGTTAACTATATAATCATTTAAGCCCCGTCCTAACACCAGAACCCCTGTCCAAAGGCCATGAAATTCACTACTGTAGAACAGGAATTCTTTCTCATCGTAACTATGTACCCAGGAGAAGAGGAGAAGATTTTCAAAGAAATAATTTCACTATATAATCTATTTAGCCCAGCCCTAGCATACAGAACCCCTGACCCTGGGGCAAAGAATTTTACTATTTTGGTACAGTGTAGAAGATTCAATGCTTATTACAATCATTCCAACAGTTTCACTGCTTGATGTCTAGATCGAAGTTAAGAAGATTTTTAAAGACTGCATTAATTTTAGTGGTTTTGGTCCCACCCCTCAGGGAACCTGAAATTCACAATGTTGTGTTCCTCTTTTACCCAAAGATGGGTTTTTACAAATTTGGTTGAAATTGGTTCAGTGATTCCAGAGAAGAAGCTAAAAATGTTCAAATGTTTACGACCGCCGAATGACATACGACGACGAACGAACAGAGATAGCAATATGTCACCTGAAAGACTCAGGTGACATATGAAATTCTCAGAGGCACATCTCCCTTTAAAATTGCAGTTTTAAGTTTGAACTCAGATGTGCAACAATGGAAATTAAAAGGCATACAGAAACCACTTCTGGTAAATACAGACCCTTAGTAAGCAATTTCGGGGGTGGGAGTGGGGGGTGGGGTGGGGGTTACAACCATATATTTTCAGTTTGCGCACTATCAACAACCGAAAATGCCTTGGCAAACAAACCAAAAAATAGAAGATCGTCAGATATCATTATTATTGAGGGGGCACATGTATATTGTAGTGAAGTTTTCAATAGTGTTCTATAGCTAAGTATCGGCATAATAGCCACCCCCCTCTTCTTACACAGCCAAAGGAAAAAACAATCATCTCAAAAGACAGTAGAATGTTTTTAAATTGAAGACATCACAATTACGCCTGTACATGTAGCACAGGGAAAGATATTAATATACTTAGTAAGTATTATTGCTACTTGTATAAGTATGTATTGAATTATAAATATGTTTTCCATTTTTCAAAAGATAGATATCCATAAGCTTGTACCTTTAACTTGTTGTTGGGAAGCTGACACTTATTCAGTTTACAAGAATCTGTAGCTCTGGAGCTTCAAACGCAATTACCCAGAGAACAGGCCCAAGCAACATGTATCAAAGTAGTGGGAGCAATCTCCAACATCGCTCACCTGAGCACATGGGCTAGGTAAAAATAAATCAGCTCAGCACTCAAAAGTTTACTTGAGGAAGGGAAGGGGATGGACTTGAATTTTATACTTCTTACCACCATATCAATATAAATTAATGGTATCAATGTAAAAACTTTGGGCCAGGAAAGATGAAACTTATGTAGAAGCATCCTCAGGTAGTGTACATTCAAGTTTATTCAAGTCCTGACCCCCGGTTGTAGGGTGGGGCCACAATGGACGACCAACGTCTTACATAGGAATATAAAGAAACAAGAGGCCCAAGGGCCTTGAATCGCTCTTCTGATAAATTGTACAACCTATCACTTCTATTTGAAGCCTCTAAAAAGTAGGTCACTGTGACCTAATTTTTAGTAGGCGATTTTCGAAAGCCCAAAATACATCAACTGACAAAATTTGATGATTCTCAGCCAATATGTATCTGAGATATTCAAAAGTAGGTCACCATGACCTACTTTTTGGTTGACATTCTCTGAAAACCCAAGATGCATCAACTGACAAAGTTTGATGATTCTAAGCCAATAAGTACCAGAGATCCTTAAATAAAGCCATAAAATGTCAAAAGTAGGTCACCGTGACCTACTTTTTGGTCGTCACCCTCCAAAAACCCAAGATGCATCAACACACAAAGTTTGATGATTCTAAGCTTATAAATACCTAAGATACTTAAATAAAGCTATAAAATGTCAAAAGTAGGTCACCATGACCTACTTTTTGGTCGTCACTCTCCAAAAACCCAAGATGCATCAACTCACAAAGTTTGATGATTCTAAGCTTATAAATACCGAAGATACTTAAATAAAGCCATAAAATGTCAAAAGTAGGTCACCGTGACCTAAATTTTAGTCAACATTTTTCAAAGTCCCAAGATGCATCTGCTGACCAAGTTTGATGATCGTAGGTTTGAAGGTAATCAAAATAAGCCTTTTAAACAATATGAAAACATATGCCTGCAAAATTCAAAAAGTAGGTCACAGTGACCTACTTTTTCATAAATATGTTTTAAGGTCCCAAGATGCAGTAATTTACAAGATTTGATGATTCTAACCCTCTCAGTGTCTGCAATAATGGGATTAAATGTTTTAAAAAGGATAAGTCATTAAGTTCAAAAAGTAGGTCAAGGTGACCTACTTTTAAGTTGACGTTGTTCAAGGACCAAAGATGCATCAACTAACAAAGTTTGATGATCATAGGCCTTAAAGTGTCCAAAATATGCCTTCAAATCAATTTGAAAACAAATGCCCGCAAAATTAAAAAAGTAGGTCACTGTGACCTACTTTTAATTTAACATGATGTGAAGTTATTAAGATGCATCAACTTACAAGACTTGATGATCCTAGTCCTTATAGTAAGCAAAATATAAACGTTTTTATCAATTGTAAATTTAGGTCAACTTTGAAGTGACCTTGAGACCACGCCCTTTGCCCCAGGGTCATGCCTTGAACAATTTTCAATCTTCAATATATTCTGATCCTTGTGTGTAAGTTTGGTGAAAATCTGCCAGGTGGTTCTGGAGAAGAAGATTTTTTGCAACCAGTGCTTTTGGTTTTGTTTTCCTGATTATCTCCCCTTCTTTAAGGGTCCCAACCCTTATTTTAGTATAAATGGTAGCCCTTGGGCCAAGGATACCCTGTGACAAATTTGACACTGATTGGCCAAGGCGTTCTTGAGTTATGGCCCATTTTCTAAAAAGTTAACAAACACCGCACGACGCACACCGCACAAATGGCCATAGAATTAGCTCTTTGAGCCTTTGGTTCAGAAGAGCTAAAAATTTAATAACAGCAAAGCCAAGATTGGTCATGTTTATATGGAAGCATCCTCAAATAGTGTAGATTCAAGTTTGTTCAAATCATGACCCCCGGGGGTACAGCCACAATGGATGATCAAATTTTTACATATTAGGAATATATAGGGAAAATATATTTTTTTTAAATATATAAAAATCTTGATTGGTCTTGTTCAAATGTTAGCATCCTCAAGTAATTTAGATAAAGATTTGTTAAAATCATGACCCCCAGGATTGGGTGGAACCACAAAAGTACATAACTTATTTGGAATAAAGCCACAGTTAGTCAAAAAATATGTAAGCACCCTTAGTTAGTGTAGATTCAAATATGCATAGATTCAAGTTTGTTCAAATCAACCCCCCCCCCTTTTAGGATCGGGACCACTTAGGCATTTACTGAATTGATTTTTCCTAGCCACAGTGCTAAGGTGAGCGATGTGACCCATGAGCCCTGTGTTACATGCATGAGTTCGATGTCAGTTGCTTTGTTTTTGATGCATAATATTTCCATTTTAAGATATGAATTAACCGGATACATGAAGATGACCCTCTGACCATCGTTTGCATAATTTTTGAAATATGTTTGCACTACATTAATGCAAATCTCACCAAACAACATACAAAAATAAAGTTTCTACTTGTGTGACTAGCCATGTTTTATTAAATTCATTTGTATTTGTTTGATCTAGCTTCGGACATCTTGCAATATTTCTTTCAAATGGTGTAAACTTCAATTTTACGTAAATAACCGTTACTGACTGCGATGCGACTTTTCTTATTGTTGTCCCCAGCTTTCGCGAAAGCGACGGGACATTAAATCTCATTCATCTGTCCGTCTGTCCGTCACAAAAACTTTAACCTTGCCCATAACTTTTGATTTAGTGGAGCTATGACTTTCATATTTCACATGTGTATTCCTTGTGACAAGACCTTTCTTTGGGTACCACCAAATTTAACCTTTTGACCTTGACCTTGTACTTTGACCCTCTTTTACACAAAAATTCCAAAGTTTTACTTTAGCCTTAACTTTTGAATGGAAGGTACAAGGACTTTCATATTTCAAATATGTATTGTTTGTGGCAAGACCTTTCATTAGATACCAACAACCTTGACCTTTTGACCTTGACCTTGGAGATGTACGTTTTTATGGAAAAACATTAACCTTGACCAAAACTTTTGAACGGTGAGGGCTAGGGCTTTCGTACTTCACATATGTAATCCTTTTGAGAAGATCTTTCATTGGATACCAACAATTTTTACCCTTTGACCTTGACATTGGAGTTTTAACTACTTTTTTAAAAAAAATTAACTTTGGTCACAACTTTTGAACGATAGATACTAAGACTTTTATATTTCACATATGTATTCTTTGTGGCAAGTCCTTTCATTGAATATCAACAACTTTGACCTTCACCTTAAGGATTTACGTACTTATGAAAAAACTTTAACCTTGACCACAACTTTTGAACGGTAAGGGCTAGAGCTTTCATTCTTTACATGTGTAATCCTTGTGAGGAAACCATTCATCAACAACTTTGACCCTTTGATCTTGACTTTGGAGTTGTCCTACTTTTAAAAAACGTTAACTTTGGCCATAACTTTTTAACAGTCAGGATTAGGGTTTCATCCTTCGAAAAAATCAACTTCAATGATAATTTCTAAATAAATGACATATGATAGGATGTTCATATTAGACACAATATGTCATAAAAAATAACATCTCATCAACAAAGACACCGAAAGCGGGGGACCACAATTCTTTGAATTTGCTTGTTTAGATTTATTTTAATGTGCCGCGTCGCCCTCATGGAACAGTGGTTAGAGCGTCTTCTCTAGAGTCACGAAGGAAAGAGCTGATCCTTCCTTCGCGGGTTCGAATCCCACTGTGGGACGCAGTAGGTGCTACCTTTGAGCTACCGCGAACGGTTCTTTTTGTTTGGAAAAAACACTCTCCAATCTATGACAAGTATCAATAGAATAATTAAAACCTGATCTTCATATTCAATTTGAAATATCATTTGAAATGTTTCCATAGTGACGTTATTCATTCTGTTGAACAATATTTAATAACTTGATACAACATTTTAAAGTCTTACCGACCTATCACCATGCAATTATCAGCATATTACTTGAATATCCAATTCCATGACAAACAATACACTCCCAAAGTCAAATCTGTTTTACAGGAGACTTAGGAACTTTGGTTGTCATGTACACGGAATCCTTGCCATATGGGTTGATTAAGTACCAAAAAAAAATAACAGTAATAAAACCAACAGTTCATTGTCAATTTTGCTCAATCACATTTTTCTGACTAAATTTGAATAAGCTTGAATAAGTTTAAACTAATACACGCCAAAACTACATTTCTTTGCCTTGTTGCTATGGAGAACCTGCCGTTGCTATGGAGATAAAAAATTAAGATTTACCAACAGTTCATTGTCAGTTTTGCTCAATCACATTTTTCTGACTTAATTTGAATAAGCCTAAATAAGATTAAACGAATACACGCCAAAACTACCTTTCTTTGCCTTGTTGCTATGGAGAACCTGCCGTTGCTATGGAGATAAAGAATTATGCAATATCAATGATGTGCTAGGGAGACCCAATTTAAGTATAGTATTTTAAAATTTGTATCTTATTTATCATAAATAACCGTTCATTTGATTTTTCCGTAAACTTTTTACATTTTTTATCATTTTATGCATCAAAAAGCCCATTTTTGTTGCTAGGCAACAGATTCGATTTTCAAAAGAGCCCATGGATTTGACTTCAAATTCTGAAAGAGAAATACCTCTGCTTTTATGTGAGATACATGCAACAATTGTATTAATCTGGCCATTTTTAAAATTTGGCCTTGAATATTGCCAAAATCACGAAAAATGCTGAATCAGCAAAACTTGTAAAACATGTGTACCTTCCAATAACTACCACAGAACTGACTTAGGACCTTAATATTTTTTATTACATTATTAGAACACAATAAATGTGTATCTTTATTACACCCATAAGTAAGAATAATTCTCATGGTATTTTCGAGTTATTTTAAGCCTCAAAGATAGGTGATTTTTTGTCCTTCAACACTGAAAAATCCGCCGGTTGCTAAGGAAATTTCTTTGGCCGGGTTTCCATGGTTACCATGACTCAAAACATTTTTCCTTTTACATACATTGTTCATACTTCAAAGTAAATCTATGAGTGAAAAATCATCAAATTCTGAGAACCCTCATATATCACCCTTTGTCTGATTTTTATGTGGACTGGTACTTAAAAACAGCTGAATAACATGCTGTCTTGTCAAATAAATAATGTAATGCAATATGGAAAAACTGTCTATATCATGCAGGAATAAATCATACATTATCTAACAAATATACCACATACATAGTGCATCTACTTTTTTGATTATATTTTAGCGTTGTTTGCTTTCATACACCCTATCCCTCTCCACTTCTGGATTGGGGGGGGGAGTGTTGAATCTTTTGTCTGTCTATGAGTTAATTCTTTCTATTAGACACAAGGATATAGCTTTGTGATGGAGAAATACTGCTTGACAGTAAACATAAATTTAGATCTGTAATTGTTAAAACTGGAATCCACTAAGGCTTGTTTATGATTATATGGTGTTATGACATTTAGTTAAGGTCTCTGCAGAAGTTCAAGGTCACAATGATTGACAAGATTCCTGTCAGGACTTTATAAAATGAACTTTCTCTTTGACATGTGATTGATTTTGATGGTATTAAATGTATTGACCATTTGTACAGGAAGGTAATTTGAATGAAATCAAGGTCTTGAAGTTTCTTTGTAAGTGTATTTTTATTTGTTTCAGATGCAAAATAATGTTGCACAGAACCAGTACAAGTGCTTGTTTTATTGTGTGTCATAAACCTGTATGTAATAATCTGATGCTGACTCAGCGACTGAGAGAGCTATATGTTGTGTTGTATATTTGTAGTGTATCTACGGTTCTTATGTCCACTCTGATATCCTACCGACATTCCATCGGCGCTGCTACTGGCTGCTACAGGTGAGTACTAGTTTACCCTCTCACACTGAATGACTGCAGTCTACAGAATTACAGGGTAACATGTGTTTGGTGCAGGTTTTGCCATATCTCTTTCTTGGAAATCGATGCCTTCTTAGCTGTATACAAAGTTTGTATTCAAGTTGTCAACAGTATGTATGTTTATCTCGGCAACAATGTAGAATTATGTTGTTTTTAAGACATGAATTGAAGCCTCTCCCTTTAAACTCAGACATTAGCAATCTTGTAATCATCCTTAGTGCTACATTATTGCAGATAAAACGAACTATTAAATTAATTTCTCCAAAAAACAAGATCTTTACTTTTTTATGTGTGTCGTGCACTTATATAATTTAGTGTAAAAGAATTTATGAAGAAAAAATACAGAAATTATCTGTTAAGTGCTAAAACCTTGAATATAAAAATGAATGTAATTATTTGTAGTGAGAGGTACTGTTATTGTTAGAAAATATTTTCAACCAAACCATGTCTTTGGATGAAGGAAGAGAAAGACTCAACTTTGATAAAAGCCCAAATGACATGGCAATTCATTTTCAATTATAATCTCCATATGAGTGAAAAATTCTCGAGAGGGACGTTAAACAATATGCAATATAAATCCATTATAATCAGGCAATATCCATGATAATCATATGACTGTTGCATGTTTGAAGCTCTAATTTCAAAGTTGAGTTAGTCGCTGTTTATGACAAAGTCTGATTCTAGGTGATAACCCAGGGTCAAGCTTACTTGGTAATTAAGAGAGGCCTTTTATAATCTTAAGAAGGCATAAAGCATCAATATTCTTAGTTTATACTTATATGTGTTGACTGTAGTCAGACCTTGTTATCTCAGAACTGGATGGGACTGAGATATGTGTGAATTTAGATATTTAGGGTAAATACTTTTAAAAATCCAAATCCAGATCACCTCAATTGATGTTTTGTGAAGTATCAGTGTTTGAGATACTGAAGAGATCGAAACTGATTTTTTAAATACAGAAAATTACAAAAATGACTCAATAAAGTGCTATTCTTTGACAGAACCCTGATATTGTCCTGGTTCATTACCTGAACATCCCCTACCAAGACAATACAAAGGTGAAGATCCCCGTTGTACCACAGTACACACTGGAGAAAAAAGAGTGGACCAAAGAAGAACTGGTAGATCAGCTCAGACCAATGTGTGAGTAAGGGGGAAAAGGGGGATAGTTTGGCTTATTCAGTAGACTGTCCATATCAAACGGCTTTTCACTAAGTTCAAAATTGAATGAAATTTCTTGGAGAAAAAATTAAGAGACAGTTAAGTTTTTTTAATCTTTACTTCATGCAATGATTTTAGTTTCCACTGGCCAGCCAGGAGAAGAATCGGAACAGATGGTAAGATTTATTTTTTCACATTGTAAACAGAAAGTTGCTGTATATTTACATAAAGTGAATGGATTTACATAATTTTTAATCTAACTTTTATGCATCCCTACAATCCAATTCCTCTGATAGAGGTACATGTGTATTAGAATAATGACAACTATCAGTGTTACCGTTATTTCAGACGCATCGGTAAATATTTATAGAAATGCAATTATTGTAGAATCCATAATTTTCCAATGTTGATTATTTCTCAGGTGAAATAGCTTTGAACAGATAGATGAAATAAAGATCAATTTTGGTTTCAGATTGATGAGACAGTGGAGGCTCTGGTCAAACATTTGATTGAATACCACGAGAATGCTAACAAGTTTGTGAAAGATAAAACCTCATTGGCAGCTGGTGATAAAACCCCCAGGGAGACACCTGTCAATGTTAATAAAGGTCTCCGCCCACATCAATACCAGAAGAAGCAAACAGGGAGTCCAAGTGGGGGGAGTTCTCATGTTATACACCATAAACCTGAGGTGGCACATGTTCCATATTTGTTGAATGTTGGGGGAAACCTGCATGTACCGGGAAGTAGTTATCTGCTTGTAAATGGACATGGGGGGTCAGAGAGTGGACACTCTACCCCAGGGCTTGTAATGCCTGAGGGTGGGGGGTTACAAGTGACAAGGCCTGATGGCAGTACGATGGTTTCCTGTCCGGGTGTGTCAGGGGCCTCTGTTCAGAATGAGGCCCCTCAACTAGACTATCAAAGTGTTCAGGGCTTACACAGTGCTTGTTCTCTTACAGATATATGTGATAACAATAGTAAACTAGTCAGCTCAATAGAGCAATCTCTCTTAAACTCAAGTAAACGAGAAGACCTTGCACCAATGCAGTTATCTTCAGAAAGCTGCTCTCCTATGATTGGGAGCACTAGCATTAACAAACCTGAAATGAACCTAGTCCCATATCTTAAATCAGTAACCGCCGAGGATGTTCAGCATGTTATCAGATCTCATTCTGAACAGAACAAGGAGAAATCCAAAGGGGTTCCAAATGAGCTAGAACATGACCCCCTGAGTGCTAGCTTTGGTTCCTCAGACTTTGACAATCTTGACCTTGAGCTCCATGACATTGAGAAGTTGTGCAGCTTTCTAGAGACCCCAGAGGATCCTTCATCTCAGGGTATGGTGGGATCTATTCCTGTATCTGAGTGTGACAATAAAATCAACACAAGCTTAGGACAAATGACAGACTTCAGGCCTCCTGGCAAATCTGTGTCTAACTGTGTACAGTGTCAGGAGAAATCCAAACAATTGTTAGTAGACCAGAAGATCAGTCATAGAAAGCCGAGCGGACGTGGTCTAGTGGACATTTTGGACTACTCACCCGAGTTCAGTTACACAGAGGTACTTGACACTCTATAGTTACAGATTTTATCTTAATGTATGAACTTTTTAAATTACTTTCTGTTTCATTGTTCTATTACAGGGTGGGTCTAAGTTGTTATTAATTGGTCCCTGGACAAAAGTTTCTTCCACATATACCTGTGTGATAGACAATGAACCGGTACAAACAACACTCTTACAGCCAGGTGTTCTCAGGTGTTACACACCAGGTAATTTACACTAACGTAACACTAACATAATCAAAAGCCAGGAAAAACTTGTCTATTTCTAATATGTTTATTCTGGCATGCAAGAAAGTTTAAAATGAATTTTTTTAACAGCTCATGATAAGGGTTGTGTTCCTGTGTACGTCAGCTGTGATGGTAAGACACTGTCTCGACCTGTTCCATTCCTGTACAAAGAAAACCCAGAACACAAGCCTTGCTCCCGATTCTCCTGGTTCTCTGTGGAAGGTAGCTAACTAAGTACTCTTCAACCTGTTCATCTCAGAGCCTTTTATTTCCCCAGTTCATCTAATGAAAACTCAGAGAAGAATTTAACATAAAAGTTTAAAATAAGTCAAATAATTGTGTGAATGTCATTTCAGAATTTTTTTTTTTTCTTGTTTACAAAATTAGAAGTTCCAAAGCCACATTGGTATTCAGAATATGAATGATTTATCTTGCAGAAAAAGAGCTGAAGACCTTATTGGTGGAGCGACTTGTACAGTTGGAGAAGCGTTTGACTCAGTCTCACTACAGAAATGGACCTGTGCCCTCTCTCCAACAGGTAATGACCTTGTCACAGACACTACATAGGGATACAACTTTCCCTTCTTAAAATAATGTGGAATCATCATTGTTTATGAGGAATGACGTTTGTGGATTTTATGAATTACTTTTACCCACGAATTAACGTCCTCACAAACTTTTTTTCATTGTAGACATACCGATTCTTTGAATCTACCTTATGAGGCTTATCTCTTCAAATTTAATTAGAAGGTCATAACAGTCTCCCTACAAAGTTGAAACTGTATTTGGAAATGACCCAATAGGGGCATATTACAGGAGGGTATAGTCTCCTCCTTTAGTAGGTGATGAAGTTATATTTTGCTCAGGTTTTAGTGGAAGTGTTCATACTTTGTAGGCTAGTGAAGACTTGGTGGAGAGCTCTGATTTGGAAGGAAAGCTACTCTGGTATATCAAAATGTTTTCTTCTGGGACCTGGAGTGATACAGAGAGCTTCCCACAGTGCAGTAAATACGGAATGACCTTACTGCACCTAACAGCAGCATTAGGGTTCTCCAGAGTGATCCAGTCCTTACTGCAGTGGAGGTAGAGCATCAGATTTCTCCCTGTTAGAGAAAAATATATGATCATGTTTATATCTTATTTATAGGAAGTTATAGGAAATATAAAACCTTAATGCACTAGTTAAATCCAAACACTGTAATTAGTGTCTGTATAGAAAGAATGTTACGATCTTTCAACATGTTCATACAGTTGTAATTATGAAACACAATATTTTAAAAGGTATCATAAATCATTGCGCAAAACTAATAATATAAGCATTTTTCCACAATATTTTAAATAGGTCTGATAGTTTCCCACCCAAAATATATGTGCTAGCAATTTATATATATATATATATATATATATATATATATATATATATATATATATATATATATATATATATATATATATATATATATATATATATATATATATATATATATATAATCTTTTGTTAACAGGACAAATAATCCATGCTGGTTCTTGGATTATGAAGTTGATGCTAATTGCTTGGATGAAAATTCTTGCACTGCACTAGTAAGTTTTGTCAATTAGGTGTTGTTAATGTATGTTTACATATATAAAATAAATGATCAAGAGTATTTTTAATGGAAACCCTGAACATTTGGATTAAAAAATTTGATACATGGATGTATATATAATTGACTTATCCTCTTCGCTTTCTCTACAGATGTGGGCTTGTGCTAAGGGCCACCAACAGGCAGCTATTGTTTTGTACCAGTGGAATTCTGACACACTCAAGGTGTCCACCAAGGATGGCTTTACCGCTCTCAACTTCGCTCAAATGTTTGGCCATCACCAGATCTACGGTCTCCTACACAAATACCAGACTGTTCTTATAAGCCCTTCCCAAACTGCTGGTTCAGTTGACACTGCATTCCCGTTATGCCCTCAGTCCAACCAGAATGTCTTCAAGCAGCCCCATCCCAACGGCATGACCTCTTTACACATACAGATACCAAATCCACCCCAGCAACAAGGCTTCCTGATCCGCCGACAGAGTGAACAAGATCTGAGGGGGAAAGCCACACGTAAGAAGCTTAGCAAGAGAGCTTCAGTGGATCTACCAGCCAACTCTGATGAAGGAAGAGCAACCAGGGCTGGTTCATATGAATACCCAATCAGAGAAACAAATTCTGAGCCATACTTACCCATGGCAACAGATCACCCAATGACCAGGGGAGATAACCCAATGCTGTCAGATAACAATAGAGATATTATGTCCCCTGATCTGATGGTGAACTCTGAAATTGACCAATTAAAGCGGGTGAATCTGGATAACATGGACCCAAGTTCAGCATCCATAATACAGACAACCTTAGGCTACACAAAAATGGATACAGGTAGAGTATTTCCTTAAAAAAAATTTAACTCACAATTTTTCTTCAAAGTCATACCACTTGATTGGTCAACTTTGATGTTTCTTACAATCCATTTCTGAAGAACTTCAATTTCAGAATTTTTTTTCTATTTCAAGATGAGGTTGAGTCCAGCACTAATGGAAGTCCCATTATAGACGTGGAGAGAGTGTCATCTGATGAGGAATCGTACTACCAGCAAACTCGCTCCAAGTCACAGTCAATAAGTAAGTTATATCACTTGGGTCAAGTCACAGTCAATTAGGAAAAAATATCACTTGGGTCAAGTGTATAAATAATTGTATTATTAAGGAATCACTGTTTAGTCAGTAGAGTATGCCAGGGCATCAACAATAGCTGGAAACATGGGATAATTTGCATAACTTTACTCATTAGACAGTGATTCCTTATATTTCAATTTCATTGTGAAACAAGATTGTAAATTTAGAAATCTAAAAATGTAGACTGATAGATTTAAATTACACAAGGCCTCGCATGTCAAATTTAATAGTCAAGTCCGTTGACCTCAAATACAAAGTTGCAAGAGATTTACATGCAAATTAAGCTTCCTTAGTGTCAGGAACAAAGACAGACACACAAGATTTACATGCATATTAGCCTCCTTAGCTCCTGACCTAGATCACTTGGTGAAATTTACATTCTGTTAGGATGATAAAACCAGAAGTCTCTGTCGAGACTGAAGCTCTACTGGTTTGTACTTATAGCAAAGGAAGAGAAAAGTACTTAAGCAGTTGGAAATTGAAACTTTTCAACAGCAATAAATAGAATAATGATCCTTGATTAAGTCTCTATATGTTCTTAGTGCAGTCTACTTGCATGCCACATCTATATTATAATCAGACTAAAATTGTATTTGGAGTAGCATTTTGAAAGAATTTCACAGAAATTTCTATTTTTAGTAACCATGGCAACACCGTTCATCGAAATCAAAAACCGATATACAGAATTATGTATCTTATTGTAGATTACTTGTGTGCCAAGTTATACTGAAATCAGACTAAAACTGTAGGAGGAGTAGCATTTTGAAAGAATTTCACAGAAATTTCTATTTTTAGTAACCACGGCAACACCGTTCATCGAAATCAAAAACCGATATACAGAATTGTGTATCTTAGTGTAGTCTACTTGTGTGCCAAGTTATATTGAAATCAGACTAAAACTGTAGGAGGAGTAGCATTTTGAAAGAATTTCACAGAAATTTCTATTTTTAGTAACCACAGCAACACCGTTCATCAAAATCAAAAACCGATACAAAGAATTGTGTATCTTAGTGTAGTCTACTTGTGTGCCAAGTTATATTGAAATCAGACTAAAACTGTAGGAGGAGTAGCATTTTGAAAGAATTTCACAGAAATTTCTATTTTTAGTAACCACGGCAACACCGTTCATCGAAATCAAAAACCGATACACAGAATTATGTATCTTAGTGTAGTCTACTTGTGTGCCAAGTTATATTGAAATCAGACTAAAACTGTAGGAGGAGTAGCATTTTGAAAGAATTTCACAGAAATTTCTATTTTTAGTAACCACGGCAACACCGTTCATCGAAATCAAAAACCGATTCACAGAATTATGTATCTTAGTGTAGTCTACTTGTGTGCCAAGTTATATTGAAATCAGACCAAAACTGTAGGAGGAGTAGCATTTTGAAAAATTGTTTACAGACGGACAGACAGACAGACGAATGGACGGACGACGGACGCATTACTATCGCATAAGCTCTTCTGGTCTCTGACCAGTAGAGCTAAAAATCAACTCCACTAACTTTCAAAGAGTTATTATAGAGCAAACAAATAGAAATATGTGTATGAATATCTAATCAAGGCAATGCTAACTCATCCTGTATTGATATGTTATACTCATTCCAGGCTCAGACAATTGTGAGGATGTCAAACTCCAGATGATGACCTTGGCCAAACAGATCATCGCTGCGATGCCGGAGCGAATTAAGCTGTCTCCTAGTCGCGGGGATGAAGTGGCCCCCGAGCGGGAACGGTGTAGTTCCTACAGCTCGCTCCAGTCTCAGTCATCACCCAATACATCGTCTTACGAGGAGGACTCGGGAATCTCAACTCCAATGGGAGACACGTTCTCTTTTGATGATTACAGGCAAGTGTTTCAATTAGAGACAGGGGATTTTTTTTCATTGGATTTGTATAAGTTTTGTTAATTGAATTAACACCATATAGAACTGTAACTAATCAGCAATTTTATGTATTAAGTGTGAGTTTTATAGTAAAGGTTTTTGAATATTAACTTTTGCTATTAAGTTTGATGTTCAGAATGAAATTTATTGAGTGTTTGAAAAAAAGTGGTTTATAAAATATCAACAACAATTTTCAAATGATTTGAAGTGTATTTCTAAAAATTAGTGAGCGTGGAAAAAAATATGTTATATTAAAAAAAATAATATTATTGAGAAGTATATACATGTAAATCTGTTTCATCCTATTTTTTTTTCAAGTTTTCTCTTGAAATGACTGCTATTACATATGTTTGTAATTGACAGGTACGCTGACCTTGGGACACCTGCCTCCTCCCTCAGTCCGGACTCCACCTGTATGCCCAGCCCCTACAGTCCCTACAGCTTCACCCTAGACTCCCCACCCCCCACCACAGAAGATTTCACTGAGTACTTCAATGCTCCGACCACGTTCATGGAGAAGGACTTCTCACAGCTCACTCTCTCTGGTAAGACACCAATATTTGTATATTTGCCTCCAATAAGACTTTCTTCATTTATAATCTCATAGCTAAATTGGAATAGTATTGCTATTGATCGCAGAATTTCATTTAAAAAAACCTACAGATGATGTGATGATTTCATACAATGAAGATCTTAAAAATTATTTTTTCAAACTGTTGTAGACAAAGAGCAGAGGAAGCTGTATGAGGCAGCGAAGGTGATTCAGAAGACGTACAGACAGTACAGAGACAAGCAGCAATTACAGCAACAACAACAGAAGGAGATCGAGGCTGCCGTACTGATACAGAAGTATTACAGGAGATATAAACAGGTCAGAGTTAATGATGAATAGGTCAAGGTTAAATGTTAAAATGTCAGTACAGAGACAAGCAGCAGTTACAGCAACAACAACAGAAGGAGATAGAGGCTACTGTGCTGATACAGAAGTATTACAGGATATATAAACACGGCCAGGGTGTATGATGAATAGGTCAAGGTTAAAATGAAAGTACAGAAACAAGCAGCAGTTACAGCAACAGATAGAGATTGCCGTACTGACACAGAAGTATTACAGGAGATATAAACAGGTCAGGGTTAAAGATAAACAGGTCAGGGTTAAAATGTGAACAGAGATAAACAGTGGCTTCAACAGCAACACCACAGGGAGATAGAGGCTGTGAAATACTACAGAAAATATAAACAGGTCAGGGTTAAAAATAAACTGGTCAAGGTTAAAGAGCCCAGTCTGTGTATTACTTTGCCTTCACTTATAGACAAGAATTGTTGAGGTAATTTTTTTTTTTAGAAAAGTTACCATGTAGAGGACACATTTTGAGGAAATGTTGTTATTAGTTTTGCACTAATGAATTAAGAATGATTATTGTATCTTTCCATTTGTTTAGTATGCCTACTACAAAAAGATGAGCCAGGCAGCTGTTTTGATCCAGAGTCAGTTCAGGAGTTATTATGCCCAGAAGAGGTTCAAGAAGTCGAGGGATGCTGCAGTGGTAATTCAGAACCAGTACAGAACATATAAAGAACATGAGCGACTTAAAAAGGGAGGCAACAAGTCTGTGATAATCCAACAACGATACAGGTTAACACTTCATACATATGTATACAATGTCTCATTTTTTGCAAAATATACGAAAAGCAGATTATTTGTTATGCAGACAATATTTAATAGTGATATTATGCTATTTCTTATAAATTTTGGCAGTAAACATACAGGGTATCACATTTGTATAGATTTGTATGTCTCACAATGTAGTGTTTGTTGCAGGAGCCATTATAGACGTAAAAATGTGAAGGGACAGAGCGCAGAGGATCATGTGATTCCTGTGGTGCCGGACTCTGCCGAGAGGTAAACTTGACTTGATAATCAAAGTACTGAGAAAATTAAATAAGTACTAATATCCTCCAGCAATGGAAATAGCTGTATGTGTTTTCTTGCAAATACAACGTGTAATCTTGTGCATAAGCATTTATCATCAAATTGAATACAAGGCTTGAAAATTGAAATGTAGAAAAATTCATAGACACCTCTCATACTGTGAAAAAAAATACTATCTATGATATGTATTTCCACTGTTTATCCTTTCCACCTAAATATGCATTATTTACTGGCAAAATCTGGGGAAAAAATGGTCATATGTAATGTTTTAAATCTTAATGAGCCATTATGTCTTTCCAGGTAAATCAATTGTGTGTTATCGATTCACTGAAATGCAAAATTCTTTACAAAACACTGAAAATCAGGGTTTAGAATTTAATAATGAGCCTTTGACAAAGTCTCTTCATCATTAAGAGAATCATATTAAAATTGTATGAACTCTTGACCTTTAATGCACAGTAGTGAGCTGTGGAAATTTGTGCATGTTCGCAGGGTAGGTAACCAATGTTGATTGTCGTCTATTACTGTTGTTATCCATATTTGCCAAGTCTCTCATTTGATCTTGATAATATAACCTCTCCTATCTTATTTCTGTTGTCTACAATTGCAGACAAGCCTCTTTCATGGTACAGTTTGCCAAATCTTCAGCAGTAATTGTTAATCGCTAAGTTTTTACAACCTTTAATTTTTACATTGCCATAAGATAGTCCAGACCTGGGCCCGAAGGTTTCTTAGAATAAATCTTTGTTTTGCAGACTTTGAAATTCAATAAACACATTTACTAGATGATGACATAAAATGTTGTATCACTAAAGCTATCAATCCACCATAATGCCTTGGTGACAATCACTCTTGCATGTTGACATTTTCCCATTCTGTGTGTGGCATGTTGTATAGTTAATGTCATGGAAATATTCTGTTTCAGAATTGTTATGCATTAAACAAGGTATATTTTAGTGCCTATCTTTATAGCCTCAGTTTTATGCTTAACACCCATCACTGTGCACTTCATGTATAGACCTCAGGCCAAGAAAGTCTTTTAACACACTGAAGTGTGCATTCTATAGACTTAAAGCTTCAATTGTACCTTCTCTCTTTCTCTTTGAAGTGATAATATTTAACTAAATGCAAGGTTTTAGGCTTTGTAATATTTAAATTTTAAAAATATTCACATGTGCAAGCTTTTACCTATTTAATCTACTAATTTAAAAATGCAAAATATTGAAAATTTAATCCATTCTGCTACTTCTTTTCTTTTTCTATCATTATGAAAAAAGTTTATACAAAGAGTACAACAAAGAAAATGAAAGAATTGAGTTTAGATTATATTAGAGTTATACTGAGTAGAGCTTAGAGATTTTTTACCCTTTGAAAGCACTTAGCACATTTCTGTTGAGTTTCAGGAGTAAAATGATTCTCTTTTAAAGTACACAAAGATGTTATTGTAGTGCCTTTTATAGGACAGTCTACATTTATGAAATAAATAGATAAGGCCATGCAAAATTAATTACTTGGTTCTCAGGCCTTTTTTCAAGAAATATGATGAGGGAGGGAGGCATTTTTTTACATTTATTAAATAACATGATGAGGCAGCTTTTTACATTGTACAAAACCTCAAAAAATGACAGGGAGGTTATTTTATTGATTTAGCAATAAAAATGTAGAGGGCTGCAATTTTTTTTTGCCTAACATTTATATACAAATGTTACATGCTGCTAATTTTAGAAGCAGATGTTTTCTACTATTTTACCATTTTAAAATGCTAATTTTTTTTAAAATGAAATAAAACTTCCTGCTCTTGTGGATTCTAAAATACATTTTAATTAAAAAATTGAAAAAAATAAGCTTAAAAGGATACTAATATACGTTTATGTCATCTCAGTAATGATATAATGCCATATAATAATTAAATCAATTGTTTGGTTATTAATATATTTATTGTATGTTGTCTATAGAAGTATTTATACAGTTGTTATGATTTTGTAGCTCTCCTCCAGACCAAAACAACACAATATCCGACACAACAACAAAACAGCCAGACGATGAAGCGCCACCTGATGGAGGGGACGGGCAGCAAGAGAACAGCAATCAAACAAGGGACAGATAACTCATACTGACCAAGGAATCTCCTATCATCACGTCATTTACAGTTGTTCCATTATCATTGCTCTTTTCTACTATTTTAGCATTTTATTAGCTCACCTGAGCCGAAGGCTCAAGTGAGCTTTTCTGATCACATTTTGTCCGTCGTCCGTCCGTCCGTCTGTCCGTCAATTTTCGACTTCTTCTCAACCACTGGGCCAATATTGGTACAAAGCATCCTTGGGTAAAGGGGAATTTAAATTGTTAAAATGAAGGGACATATCCCCTCGCAAGGGGAGATAATCAAGAAAAGACAAAAATAGGGTGGGGTCATTAAAAAATCTTCTTCTCAGAACCACTGGGCCAGTAAAGCTGAAACTTATGTGGAAATCCTGGGGTAGTGTAGATGCTAAATTGTTCAAATCATGACCCCAGGGGGAAGGGCGGGGCCACAATGGGGAATCAAAGTTTTACATAGAAATATATAGGAAAAATCTTTGAAAATCTTCTTCTCAAGAACCACTGGGCCAGAAAAGCTGAAACTTATGTGGAAGCATCCTGGTATAGTGTAGATTCAAATTGTTCAAATCATGACCCCCGGGGGAAGGACGGGGCCACAATGGGGAATCACAGTTTTACATAGAAATATATAGGAAAAATCTTTGAAAATCTTCTTCTCAAGAACCACTGGGCCAGAAAAGCTGAAACTTATGTGGAAGCATCCTGGTATAATGTAGATTCTAAATTGTTCAAATAATGACCCCTGGGGGATGGGTGGGGCCACAATGGGGAATCAAAGTTTTATAAAGAAATATATAGGAAAAATCTTTGAAAATCTTCTTCTCAAGAACCACTGGGCCAGAAAAGCTGAAACTTATGTGGAAGCATCCTTATAATGTTGATTCTAAATTGTTCAAATCATGACCCCCAGGGAAAGGGCGGGGCCACAATTATCAAATTTTTACATAGAAATATATAGGAAAAATCTTTGAAAATTTCTTCTCAACCACTGGGCCAGAAAAGCTGAAACTTATGTGGAAGCATCCTGGTATTGTAGATTCTAAATTGTTCAAATAATGACCCCCGGGGGATGGGTGGGGCGACAATGGGGAATCAAAGTTTTATCTATATAGGAAAAATCTTTGAAAATTTTCTTCTTAAGAACCACTGGGCCAGAAAAAGTGAAGCTTATGTGGAAGCATTCTGGGGTAGTGTAAATTCTAAATTTTAGGAATCATGACCCCCGGGGGAAGGGCGGGGCCATTATAGGGAATCAAAGTTTTACATAGAAATATATAGGAAAAATCTTTGAAAATCTTCTAGCCAAAAAGCTTTTATGGAAGGATCATGTGGTAGTGTAGATTTCAAAATGTCTAAATTATGATCAGTGGGGTAGATGCATATGTTAACAAGGGTGAAATCTGGTGAAGAACAGAATGGTCAAAGCTTCTCAGGTGAGCGATGTGGCCCATGGGCCTCTTGTTTTTTTTTTTCTCTCTGTAAGAAATTCTTCCAGATACAAAAGTGTTGTATTTAAATGCTATTTTTATATAGTTCTTGATATGGTTTGTATGGAGATTATCAGTGTGTATTTCACTGGAGTTTGTCAGTGATATATGTGGACCATCTTAATAGCTTAGATGGAAATATAGTTTGAACAAGTTTTGAGTTTAAGTATAAACAAAAGAGAGTATAGCAGCTTTTTATTGCCATCTTAAGCTTGTAAGAACAATTATTTTTCTTCAATATTGTCTTTGCTTTGTACTAATTAGGCTATGTAAATTTAATTCCTTGGTTCTCAGGCCAACTTTCTCCAAAACAGATGCGGGAGGGCGGCATTTTATTTTTCATTTAAATGGCAAAAAATTAGATGAGGGAGGTATTTTTTTAATTTTTAATTTCCGAATTTTCTTAAACATAAAGATAATTTTTTAAATTACAGATATACTTTCCATTTCTGGTCAAAATTACTGCTTTATCCATTGCTTAACAACGTAAATATCGTAGGTAATGTCCTTGAATGTATTTTCAAGCGAAGGAGCCAAAATCTCATTGTAAATTGCTACCGGAAGTGATATTTGAATACTAAACTACAAAACAAATGAGGTCGGAAATTTTTTTCCCGGATTGGTCTCCGCAATATCAACTTTTTATTTTATCAAAAAAACAATAAAATCAGCAATGCGGTTACCTCAAAACAGATGCGGGCGGGCCTGAGAACCAAGATTTCAATTTTATTTGGCCTTAGTTCATAGATTTTCAAGATTCTTGAGCAAAATTCTTCAAACTATTTCCTTTTTGAAATTTTGATACTAAATAATACTTAAAAAAAATAGAAATAGTTAGATTAGGCCATAATAAAAATATTCCTAGATTCTCATCCCCGCCCGCCCCGATTTTAAACCCCCGCCTCGATTTTTTTTATTTCTTTTTTCTTCGTCTTAAATATACTACTTTCGTTTTAAATCCCGCGAATGTCAACATAATTTTGACAGCTGAAAAGATGGTAATTGCTGTAATACACGCGTATATATTTTAAACAAGGGTCATTGGTTGAAAAGATTGGTGATGATGTGAAGTAAGAGATAATGGAACCTTTACTATGACTTTTATTCATTGTAGATAAAATTACACCGATTGACTAGGTCAATAAAAAATCTGCAAAATTGAAAAAATAAAAAATATAAAATAAAAGCCTTGTTTTTAAAAAAATTCGGATGAGAATCTAGCAATTTATTTATTATGGCCTTAAGTACATGTACGTATTATTCTCCTTGTTGGTGTAGAAAATGGGGTCTTTTTTAAAATATACTTTTCACACAAGGGATATAGACTAGTTTTCAAATTTCAATCATAGAAGATAGAATTGGTGAGAGACTGAGATGCTGAAATTATTTTTATTGGTGTCTTACTTTTGTCAGTATTAAGGTTCATCCCTCCGACTTTTTTTTTTGGCCTTGAAGATTTACTGCTGTTACCTTAATTTCAGTATTCGTTTATTATTCAAATTTCTTTATCCAGTGCAAAATTTATGCCCATGAGTATAAAAGATTATGTTACATTCATAGATGGTTCAAGACTTAGTGAAATTACAGATAAATGTACTTGCTTTAATTTATATTTTATAGAGGAAGTAGGATTTAAGGAATCTAGATAATCCATAAAACTGCTTTACACTATATACACTTATATCCATGTATAAATTATTAATTTGTTTATTTTGGAATACAGAATCTTTAAAAAAGAAATGTAAAATCTGTTAATTTTCTCATGAAGGAAAAAAGGTCCCATATAAAATTACATCAGGGTAGAAAAACTCAAAATTAATCCTATAACAATGTAATATTTTATGGTATTATTGTAATTTTTTATAAGGTTGATGTGTAAAATGTAACAGTTGTGAATGCAAAGTGAACAACATTTAAACTTTCTAAGAAAGTATTAATTAATTTCATTATTTTTTAAACATTCATAGATATGTCCATAGACGTGAAATTAATAAATAGACTTAGTGCATGAATATGCTTCTGGGTTTTGTTATATATTTTTATTGATTATTTATCTTACTTTATTTGTTTAATTATTGCATCATTTTGTTTATTTTGTTGTTGAACATTTATTTGATACAATTTGATATTTTTGTTCTTAAGTATTTTTTTTTTTACATATCTCATGTTCAATTGAGCAGCTTTTTCCAATATACTGAGTACCTGGTAATCCAAAATACCAAATTTGGATGGTGTTTTTGAGAGATTTTTAAGTATATGAAATTGTTGACTTGTATGTTAGGATGGGTACTTAATCTATTTCACCCCCTCAAAAAAAATTAAAAATACTTCTGTTTTAGCTTTGTCCATTTATTTGTTCATTTTGAATTTTGGTCCATGTTTTTTTTTTACTGCACAATTTATTAGAAATTCAAAATCTACATGTATGTACAACTGTGGCATTTTTTCAATCTTCAAAAGGTTAGCGATCACAATTAATCAAATGTTTATTTTATCCTGTTTATGGCTAGCATTGCAGTTTACTGGTTGTACAATCTATCCTTAATGTGTTAGTGAAAGTAAAATATGAGTGTCAGTTCCTAACATTTAGTTCCCTAGCATAACTCAATAACATACTACATATTTCAGAGATTATGGATAGTGTATGACCTTGGCCTATTGAAATAGATAGTGTATGACCTTGACCTATTTAACCTTGTCACCCTCTATGTACCACCTTCTCCATGACCATTCCAGACAGAAATCCTATTTATTCCTTCCTGTCTCCTATTTAATTACTCTATGTATTCATTAATTTATTATTACTTTAGCTTTTGCATGTATTTATTATAATATATTTTTTAAGATGATTTGAATAGTTATAGCTTTATGATAACTGTTATATATGGTTATAGAGGAAATTAGAAATGCATTCAAACTTTAGTCATTCAGATGTGCAAGAGTTAATTCCCTTTAGTTTAAAACTACATGTTTTTCTATAGTGTTATTTCAGATTTTGCTCAAAACATTATTTCCTAACAAAAGTCTTACAAAATGCCCTTCACAGGTAAAAAGATGTGCATTTAGAATAAATCCTGATATATATATATTTTTGTAACAGTAACTTGATCCGAAGGGTCGTATCACGTCGAGTTGACGGGCGCGGATCATCAGATCAAACGAGAGCATCGAGTTTGATCTAATGATCCACGCCTGTCAACGAGACATGATACGGCTCTTTGGATCAAGATACTGTTATAATCATAAATTTATTATATACCCCCTTATTATTGGCTAAATATATTAAAATAAACCTTTAGTGATCAATTGTCTGATATTAATCCATTAAACAAAGCATAATAACAAGAGACTTTTTAACGCGCAAGAAAAATAACGTCATATTTCTCTGTACTACGTCATCAGTTTCAGAGAGTGGTAATATGGATTCAGAAAACCACAGTGTGGTGAACTGGAAAGTCGGATCACGATGTCACGTGATTGCATTAAATCTACAGTAAAATTGAGTGATACACATAAGGTATATCATAAATACTGGTACATGTACATGTTTGGGTAAAATGCTAAGGGATGTAACTCTTGTCATTTGAATGTTTACAAATAACTACCCTTGCTGTGATAAATAGACAAAAACTGTTTTGTAGTGTTCATAAGACATGATGATTATTGACTGTGTTGTTTATAGCTTAATGTTGATTTATCAATGTGTTTTGTAAATGCAAAATTTGAAATTGTAATGTTTAGGTAAATTGTTATTTTGTTCAAGACAGAAGTGGAAAAAGATACATATATACACATATGTATTCAATCTCTTCATGTTTTCCTAGGCAATTAAATTGTGATTTATGTACTTTATTGTTATTTACAGTTTTAATGTTGAAAATGTTATATATACAGAGAATTGTGATGTTTATTTATGTGGGGCAAACAGAAACCTAATAAGTTTATCTCTTCCTAGATGTAAAAAATGGGGGAAATTTAAACTATTTAGTAGGTTGAAGTAGACATTAACTTCTTATATACCATTTTTCTATCATATCTTTTCTTAGTAATGCATGAACAAGGGGAGAATGGTGATTTGATAATCAATAACCCTTTACATATGTACATGTTCCACAATTTTCAGTAATAATTATAAAAACACTGTCCAAAGTATTTTCCTCTTAACATTACAGGCAGTTTATATGAAGTTTTCAGCTATTTTTCTCAAGCAGAATTTATCAGGATTAAGTAAAAGTAAGAACTTTAAAAAATATGGAGGCTACACACTGGTGTTTCATTTTTGATATATTATTCAGCACGTAATAGTGATATTCTTCTTATCTTTACCTTTCAGATACTGAAGATAATTTGTAAAATCTTGTGACTTACAAAAATAAAAAAAATTGTTAAATACTAAATAGTGAAGAGAATCTGTACTTAATAATAGTTGGTTTTTGTCTGATTTATCAGAAATTGCAACAAATGAAATGAATTTTATGAAGTTTTCTGTCAAATTTGTATACATGTAATGATGACTTGTTTTTGTGAGATGATTGAAAATCAAATTGCTTTCTTGTTATCAGTAAAATTGTTATAAACTGTGTATTTCAATGTTTCAAACTTTTTTCATCCTTTGATAACTGTTGTCTTTGTTGCTTTAAGAGTCTGTTTTAAGCTGAGGATGAAACCCTTTGCGTTTTGAGTCCCTCCCTTTCTTAATACGTTCAAGTGTTTTGTCAATTTATGTATGTCAAGTTTGCAATGGAAGCCAGTAAGAATTTTTAAAGAATTGTTTTTATCAGGTGATGACTTGAATGTTAAATAAATTTAAGTAGCAGCTGTTATTGATATCTATTATTAAATTTAATGACCCCTCATTGATTGACTTTTATTGTATTTTAAAACTTGAATTGCTGGCTGACGAAACATTTGACTTTTTTCTGCAGGAGGAGATTTGTCACTGCTAAATAAGTATGCACTGTGGCAGTGGTCAGATCCAAAGTTTTGATATTTATGAGCCCGGATCGATAGATCCAGGGCATATATTGTATTTGTCCTGTCTGTTTATCTGTCTGTTGTAAACTTTAACCTTGACCATAACTTTTGAACCATAAGGATAGAGACTTCATATTTGGTATGCATACTCCACTAATAAAGTTCTTTCAAATGACATCAGGGTCAATGACCTTGTCAAGTTGTGACCTTGACTCTGACCTATATGCTAAAAATAGCTTTTTCGACTTTTTTTTCTGTTTCTCTGCTCTACCTCAAGGTTTTAAGTATTCAAACTAAGCATGTTATTAAAGTCTATAGTTGTGAGCAATCAATGGTGCATCTTTAAAAATTATGAATAACAGGGCCTTTGCTTTAAACATGAACCAAATTCAATCGTTGCAAAATTGTTGCATAATACTCAGGTGAGTTGTAAGGCCCATTGGCTACTTGTTAAGGGAAATACGTCCTCTTTAATTTTTGAAGTTTACACACTTTTCCCCCAAACACTTGCAGATAATGAGCTGATTTTTGATACTGTATGCCACTTTACCATGACAAGTTATATGAAGTTTGGAATTTGTTCAGCTTTGATGGTTTTTGATGGAATTATGACATTTTGAATATTTAACTGAAACCAGATTACATTTGCCAGTAGAGAACTAGTATTGCTAAACTTTTTTTTTTTTTTGGAGGGGGGGGGGTCTATCAACAAGTACCTGTGGTTTAGAACAATTTTTTTTGTGGATAAGAACATACTGACACCCATTTACTTGTCTATTTATGTAATACATTTTATGTTTAGCAGTTTATAAAGTTTAATATCTTCAGAAAGATGAAAAAATATTCTAATGAAGCAAAAAGATTCAGGCAACAGTTCTTTATTAACACATTTGATGTTTGGAAAATTAAATAATGAGCTGATGAAATGTTCATAAAATCAAGCTCAGTGGATTTATGTCCTGTTTTTGCGTCTCTCCATGCAATCCAACCTGAAATCAAAATGTGAAATATATATAATTTTGTGTCTATTTTGAATGCCTAGTAATAAATAAAATCAAAATAGTTGGGAGTAAAATAATGGTACCTGATGTTGAACATGTCCGTGTGAAAATTTAACCACTTGGCCAAGTTCTTGTGGTCTTCAGCAAGGGATTCCAATTTCATTGCTGCAATGAAAAAAAGTAACATTAGGAAAACAATTTAAAGGATTTTAAGTAAACAACTCAGTATGCATGTTAACTTTTGGTCAAAAGTCATAAATACTAACCTAATTCCTTCTCGGTTTCCTTGGCATCATTGAGCAAGGCTGTTACAAGCAATCTCATCTGCACATTCTCTGAAAATGTTAATAAACAAAAATAACAAATTCGTTCCTTAGTCTTGGATATTAAAGGATAAAAAGTAGCAAATGTGGCATAAGATGAAAAATTCAAAATAAAAACCTTCTGCTAGACCCGCCATTTTGCTTTTCAGGTCTTTCATTGCAGTGTTGAACTTTCTAACAAACTGAACACAACCAACAACCGAAGTAAGAAAGAGCAGAAAGGCCAGAAAGAAGAGCAGATCTGTTGCCGAGAAGTAAGACAGAGCAGCAGCAGAAGTGGTTGTAGCAAAGCTGTAAACACTGTCACCCAGCGACAGCAGCTCGTGCTGAGAGAAATGAAAGAAAGAGAAAGTGCTTCAGCCAAGAGAGACGTATGTTAGTACACAAAACAAATAAATATTTTTTAAAAACTTACCCCCATGGCGGCACTCATCTCCGTAGTAATCTGCCACACATTACATCCCATCCTGCAAGAGACAAAATGCGGTTGCTATGGACGCTCTTTTTACAAAGCAACAGATAATTTGACGTTATGTACTAAATTAATTTATAAATTAACAAATAATATTTTATTTACTTACTCATACAAGTCTTTGTGCATTGTACGGCCTGTTGATGACAGGAAAGTGCCAAGAATGGCGGAAGATCGAACAATCGAAGAGGCTCTCATTTTTGCGTCTTGCTTTGACTATGCGTTGGATTCAACTGATGCCAAATCCCAAAAATCGCGTGCTTATATACTTTTCCAAGGAAAATGCGTGCTGTTGATTGGCTGTATTTTGCTCGTGCTGATTGGTTCCACAAAATGGAGTTATCCAATGAGCAAAAAGCGCCAAAACGTTGTACTCACGTCAGAAAACAAGATGGGGTTCGATTTTGTGCTTCATGATTTACATTGTTTTACAGATATTGCTTAGTTTTCACCGTTATATCATATATGAATATATTTGTTGGAATCAACTCTATATTTTCTGTAAAAATAAACATATAAAAGATTCCAGTAATCTTGTCTGTGTCCAAAAAAATTATAAAACGATGTCTCAAGTCACCAAAAAGAACCCCCCGTTATGTTTTTGAATTTTTTAAACGTAACTCTTACAAATGTCTGTTGAATTTTTTGCGATTAATATATCCCATACAACTAAGAAAATCGTTTTTTACAAATATTTCATACATTTCTTTCGTAATTGCATTGAAAAATAGCCTAATGCTGTACCATGGAAAAACATAGGAACTGCTGATTGAATTTCAATAAGCAAAGTTTTAAGTTAAACTTTTTGAAAAAAACATTTTTAGTTCAAACTTTTTCTATTGAAAAGGGGAATCAAAATTTACATGTCTAACCACGACATTTTAAAGTATTTGTTTTAAAATCCGTGTTCAAAGTTTTATCTTTTGTTTACATAACGTTACTATGACGCCATGACAACGATATTCTTACGGTAAAATTATATATATCATCTCCTGATGTTTCGACAAGAAGATATTGCAGTTATAAAAATAGATGATTTTCTTATTGAAAAGAGAATCTGGGAAGTTTCTAGTATGCCGGTCCCCAGAATCACGCGATTGCGCATGAGCAGTTATTTCCCTTGCCGTTGCTATGCAGAATGTAAACAAACCGCAATTTCCCACTCGCTTCAACAAAACGCATCCGATCGAGTGATTAGGATTAGGTTATATAGTTTTTGAAATTGGGTTTGTTTCATAAATCCAGTCTGTAATCTTTCTGACTTTGGGCTAATTTATGTAATTTTTGCTTACAAGTGCCTTTTGTGACCAAAAACGTGCATGAATCAGCCTGTCGAATCGTGCTGATATCTTACACTTTGGTTTAGTTCATGACATGTTTGCTTTACAAAGGAAAGTTTAAGAAATGAAAGTTCGAGTAAATCAACTCTATTGTCGAAACATGACGATTTTCAGCGCTGAGTTTAGGCAAGTATTGTAAAAGCGACTTACCGTTATGTTAACTGCAGCTCGATATTCTGACCTCCTAATCATGTCCAAATATTCAGAATATTTTCCATTTCAAATCGATAATGATCATGATGATGCACAATTCAATCCATCGATGACTAATCATTAGCTAACATTTGTTAAATCCCTGTATTTCTCACAAAAATCACGAAATTTTGATAGCATTGCACTTTGCATTTCTTCATTACGTCAAAACACAAGTGACGCATCTCATGAATATTTATGAGATTACGTCAAAAATTGATCATGTGACTGCATTCCTAAACAACGCAAGATGGAGATTTACTTCCTAAACAAGAACGTAATTTTACGAAATCTTTTAATTCTCATTTAAAAAACTGTGTTTAAAAACCAGTTTTTTAAACCCAATTTTTCGCAAGGAACACGAATTTGAGGTCAAATTTGCAATTTGTGGCTTTTTTTTCGATTTTGTCGATCGCTCACGCGATCGTCTATAGACGACTTTCACATTCCTCAATAATATGTTGTAAGCGGCCCGTGTCAAAGGTCAATCGGCGTAAAGTCTTTAACCTAAGCGGCCTTATTGCTAAAACAATACTGAGCGGGACTTGTTTATTTATCGAATTACTGTATTTTGAGCCATTTTACGTATACACAATTTGATATAGACTTACACTATGGATCCTGGAGATCAGATTTACACCCTGCAAGAATTCCAAACGTGGAAAACAGAAAATTTGAAGGCCTATTTAACCAAGAGGGGTCTGTCTAAAGAAGGTACTAAAGAAGAACTTGTAGCTCTTTGTTTTTCTGCTTCCAAGTTAAATCTACCTATTATTCCAACAGCTCGTGATATTTTAGAACATAATGCTAAGTGCTATGAAAGTATTTTATCTGCTTGTGGAATCCAAGACCCCCTGAAAACATACGAAGGATGGATGGACGAGAAGAGTGCAATAGATAAGTGGCCACCGACATTTTTGTCTGACATTACTCAGTTTTTATTAAAGCATGGAGATGTCTCCCTTACAAATTCACTTCTCAAAGATTACAAGGTTGGCAAAGCATATGAATATTTTACAAGTGGCTGGCTCCAAGAAGTTTTTTATTACCGTTTGACAAGCGAAAAGAAATGCATCTTAAGAGCAAAGTGCACCCCCTCCCAACGAATTCGAGATGATTTACATGACTGCTGGGCAGCAATTTCGGAAGAGGATGGTGAGGTTTTGGGAGCCTACTGTACATGTACTGCAGGGTATGAAAATTTACATTTCAGTTGACTAATTATGTAATGGTCAAATTTGATTTAATAAGATAAAGTGTGTCATACATGTTTTAAATTATATGTTTGACATTGATCAATATTGTAGATTAGGGCAAACATGCAACCATGTTGCTGCATTACTTTTTCGCATCGAGGCTGCTAATCAGTTTGGGCAGACATCATGTACTATGGCCAGATGTGGTTGGGTGCAGCCAAAGGTGATGAAAGATTTGGAGCCACAGAAAATATCAGCCTTATGTACCAGCCTGAAGAAATCTTCTCGAGCTAAATATGGTATATCATTTAAACTATGATTTCATAACATACTTCCATATTGTTGTTTACTTAAATATTCTGTAGTACCGGGGTATTATACAGTGTCCTTGAAATACATAAATTTTTTAAAATTTCTTTAGATGTTTTTTTTTTCATTTCATATACAACAAAAACACTAATGAAAGGCTAAATATATATCTTTTTTGAAAGAGATTATGAATCAATTTTGTGTTTATATATAATTTAATTTTATAGCTAAAAGCAGACCACTAGTGGCCACTGAAAAGAAAAAGTACAACCCTCTTGAAATTGAGGAGTCCAACACCGCCATACTTGACAGTTTGAGCATTGCACTTCGTGGTGTTGTCCCCGAGGCCTGTTTATTCAAAGGTAAATTATAACTAATCTAACATTATGGACTCTTTATAACAGGGGATTGAGACATATCATAAGTCTGAGTACAGTTGACACCTGAGAGCCCTTGTGCCAAAGGGCAACAACCCTACTCGGACCTGATAATTAGTGATGGTCCCCTTCTGAACAGTCCATGATTGTTTTATTATTATAAAGAATCTTATATTAAGATAGCATAAGATTAGAAAACATTAGTCAAATCTTGTTTTCTTCTATCGACTGCTCCAATTCCATACTTTCAAAGTATCTTCAATATAACCATGATAACTTTGTCCTCACTGTTAAAATTAATTGTTTACCAATCCGTAAACAAATTTAATTATGTAATTATAAATATGAGTCATCTTGTTTATGACATCTATTTTAAACTTAGTGAAGACAACAGAGTTGTCATACTAATTGCTCACTTGAGCTATTTTATAGTTATTTGAAGGGAGGCAACACAGGTGTCACCCTGCAGAGCATGAATAAGACTTCACAAATTGTCTCCTCACATTTGACAACCTTTAAACCAGTTAGCATGACTGTATAATTCTGAAATGTATTATTACTAATTAATTAATAAAAATCTATATAAGTTATATAACATAGTTATAAAATTTGTAAGATGGAAATACTGTAAAAATGTTTTCACATGTAATGATGTTCACTGACTAGTCTGGCACATTACTATGTTGCTTATCGATACTCTCCCGTGAGGTGTTTCCTGGTTTGCCCAGTTTGTTGGCTTGGTACATCATATAATATACAACATATCTAGTTTGACAAGACGTGGATAAATTTTACACCAGTCAAAGACTTATTGTGATTAGTTTTGTTTATTTACTTCAAGGTTTACCTCGGACAGGTGATGTTCCAACTTCAGCTCAGGAAGCAGAGGGAGCCGTAGGATTAAACAAAGAAGATACAGGCCATGAAGACCTTTCTGTTATTGATAAATTTGATTTATCAACCATATCAAAGTCTTATGGTTCTCAAAATACTTGTTATGAATTTTTAAATTTTTTACCAAAAATTGATGATTATGAAATTTCAACTATTGAGAAATTTACTGTTGGACAACATGAAAATGAAAATTGGCACCGCTTGCGTAAAGGACGGATAACTGCTTCTAAATTTTATCAAGTATATACAAAAGTGAACTCTGTTCTGGATGGTCGTAGAAAAGATGTACAAGTAGATTGTTCTTCACTTACCAAGTCTATCATGTGCTATACAAAGGTTAATCCCAATATCAAATCTTTAAAATATGGTAGAGAAACTGAGCCATTAGCAATCTGTTCTTATTTAAATACTTATAAAAAACAACATGTCAATGTGTCATCAAGAAAGTGTGGTCTGTTTATAGACAAGAGAAATATTTTTCTTAGTGCTACACCAGATTTACTGGTTTCTTGTTCATGTTGTGGAGATGGTCTTCTTGAAGTTAAGTGTCCTCTTGTACCGGAGTGTAAAAAATGTAAATCTTTTTGTGTTTGTCATCTTCCAGAATATGTAAAAATTTGTAATGATGGTTTTTGTGTTAAAAAAAATCATGCATATTTTACCCAGATTCAGGGTCAGCTCGGCATAACAGGTCGCAATTGGTGTGATTTATATATATACACAAAAAATGGCCCATTACAATGTAGAATCAAATTTGATCAGGATGCATATTCAAAATTTTTGTTACCAAATTTAGTTATATTTTTCACTGATTACATTGTACCTGAACTATTACAAGGTAAACTTAATGAATGTCAAGAGAATATAGAACCTATGGATGTTGATGTGGGTACAAGTAACAGTTCTCGATATTTTTGTCCAGTGTGTAGAAACATCATAAAAGAAACAGGGTCTATATCAACATGTTCCATAAATTTACTAAGTTATATTATAGTCTTGGGGCCTACATCCTATAGTGACAGAAGCATTGCTTGTGATGAATGCAATTTGTGGTTTCATTTTAAGTGTGTAAATGTAACACAAACAGTACTAAAACAGAAAGATAAGTGGTTTTGTTCGAAATGTTCAACATCCAAGTAAATTATGAGTATTTATTGACGGAGAAAAACTGTTTATTCATAGGGAGTGTTAAATATTATTTCATTGTTAGTTTGTCTGTTTGTTGTTAAATTCATTAAAAAATGTTACTGTGAATTGAAAAAATGTTTTACTTGTTCTTGTAGGTGCTATACATAAAAGAAAATTTTGGAATAATTTATTTGTATTTAGGCAAGGGAGGATACAAGTTGCAAATGCCAGCAACAGTTTTAATTATATCATCTAAATGCTGAAATAAAGTAGCAGGGACTTCATGCTTCAGAATTCTGAAATACTTCATTCTGCGAATGGCTTGCTCAACATATATACGCCTGTTTGCTATTTGCTTTGTTTGCTGTACTTCGTCAGCTGACATTTGGCAAGCTCCTCTACGTCCTGGTGGAACCATCAAATTGGCATGAAGAAGGGTAACCTCTTCTTTGATTTGGAATCCTCTGTCAGCCATGATGACATCATAGGGTTCAATCAAACTGTAGAAACCAGATCGATTTGTGATGTATTTATCGCTGGTTCTACCTCCCCAGCAGTCTGATATAAAATTAATCATCCCGGATGGGTTGATGCTGATCAGAAACTTAGCAGTATGATGGTGTTTATAATCTGACCACGTTTTTGTCTGCACCTCTAGATTTTGCGGTTTCTCTAAAAATACCTCAGTACAGTCAATGATATGGCGCACAGATGAATATTTTTTGCTTCTGAAGGATGGTGGTAGATTTTCACGCACTACTTCTTTGGATGGATTGAACACCAAGGTTCCAAGAAATTTGGATAGAATCTTGATCCATGTAGTGAAGATTTTTGAGATATGTGGAGCACTGATATTGAATCTTGTAGCTAAGTCTTCATTCAAAAGACCTAATCTTAATTTCATAAGAGTCAATGCCATCTCCTCTTTTAATGACAGAAATCTTCGTGGCCCTGACTTCTTTAAAACCTTGTGTTTAAGGGTGTGGAACACATGCTTAGGACCTCTCCAGTACTTGGTTTTCTTTATCTTTGGCTCAATAACCTTGTAGATGGTGTGAAAAGCACTTAACGAAGGCAAACCGGTATGGAATCTTACAGATTTGTTACTTTTTAAGACTGTGTCTGTAATGGAAAGTGGTTTTTGCTTTAGCTTCTTTTGCTTTATTAACTCAATTTGGAGTTCATTGATTTTTGATTTGAGTGCTGAAATCTCTTTTGATTTTTCAATACATGTGATACAAGGATTTGCATAGTCATGATCAAGTTTGCACACATAAACAGGGTCATCTTGGCTTTCAGATATTTTCCTTTTTTTTGGTGTTTCTTTACTTAATTCTCTTTTAGTTGGAGGTAAGCGACCCTTGGAGACAATAGATGACATATGCCCCAGATTTATGGTGGGATAAGGATGAAGCAGTGAGGGTGCACCATCAACAAAATGCTTAGAACAAACTCGCGAATTGTCATTTGGTGACCAAATGTTCTTCCCATCTGTTGAGGTCCTGTTTATGTTCTTTCTCCATACAGACCGTGCATGGGGATCGCGAAGTTCAGTTGGAAAGGGAAATAACTGAAAGGGTGGTGTGCATATGCACCTTGATGTGCCAAAATTGCAAAAGTGCATTTCGCAAAACTGTTCTCGCCATTTTTTCAAATGATATCCACTGCTGTTGCAGTCTTTGACACAACAAACTCTCTGGGTCATAATGTTTAAAAACAAACCAAAAATAATTGGAACTCCTAAACTGAAAATTAGAAACTCAACAAAATTTTGCAACATACCCATCACCAAATGCTGAAATTTAAAACAAAATCATAAAGATTTTTCAATATTTTTTGACAATGAAAAATTTAAAGAATGTAATTAACATCTTCACTGAAAGTTAGGGGAGAACAGTCCAATAGCACTCTGCATTGTATATTTGTTTAAACAAGGTATCTTAAATTTGAATCAAATTTTCTTCTTTAATCATTCTTTCTTAAGACTTACTATTCAAATTTAATACTTATGGCAATTACTTATAATTACATGATTAAGACAACATCTCTTTTTGTGTTTGTTTGGTTTTTGTGTGTGTGTGTGTGTGTGTGTTTTTTTTTGTTTTTTGTTATACTCTGCTTGAAAAGCAGGAGGGTATATAGTAATTGGTATATCCGTCTGTACATCCACCTGTTACACTTTGGGGTACCCATCTCTTATCCGCATCATACCACTGAATGAAATTTTATGAGACTTTCACAGAATCTTTATTACATATTGCCATTGTAACCTCCTATTTTACTTTTTGATCTGACACATTAGTTTGGGTTTCCCACAGCAAACATGGACACTACCATTATATTCTTATGGGAGGCGGGGGCATCATTTAGTGAGCTCATTGCTCACAGTACCTCTAGTTTGTTTTTGTTGTTTTTTTTTTTTGACACATAAATTTTATCTTAGATATACATCTACATGTACAATATTATGTATAATACTAAATGGGGAACTGCAGGCAGTTGGGATTGTTGTCCATAACTGCATACAGTGTTCTACCTATGAGACGTATGTCTCTTGGTTTAAATAAAATCTTATATCTACTGTAGTATAGATCATTAGATCTAAAATACTGCAATTATATAAATATATATGACATATCCGTTGAAAAAACAAAACAAAACATTTTTGTAGGATGAAACAAAGTGATATCAATAATTAAGGCTATGATTAAAAATATTATCCTGTATGAAACGGTATTCATTGATTTTAAATACTAGTTTATAATGTCTCTCGTCATGAGTGTTTACATAGGGAGAAACGCTATGCGACTACATTAATGTCCGATTCGCACGAATTTTGAATGAAAGTAATGGCAATTTATTGTTATTTAATAATTTCAGTAATAAAGAATTTTGATTTTCTTACGTGTATGGATCTTTGCTACAGAATAAAAACAATAAACGTCAGATTGAACGACCCTCTGGACTGATGTATTACATGTAGCCATTTTGTTTCTA